TCTGTCTAGAACTGTACACACGACGGAAATGAATTCTAATCCGGATGGGTACCGTTGGTTGCACTTCGTGACTGATCTGATTTCAGATTGTCATATATGTGTGTACGGGTTATTTTAAATTACAATTTGACTGAATCTAAGTCGTGCAAATCCAAGTAACTAAGTGGTTGACATATTTGCATATAATCGACTTGCAACGGACATTGGGTCGTTAAATGGTCAGTGTAAACTGACCTGATTTTTTGTGTGAAATACTCACTCGTCTTATTTTCCTAATTAACATCATGCGAATTATTGACAGCCCTTGCTAGGGAAACAATGATTCATTGTGAAAATCATTTCAGAACGAACTGCTCGGTTTATTCAAAATACATTTAATCAACTCAAAACCATTTTTGTGTCTCGACCTGCCCCTACCCGCTCCTCTTACTCACTCGTCCGAACATGGGTTTAGCCTGGTCTTGATTGGTTTCAGTCGGTTCTCATTATTGCGCGCATCTGTCATTCAAGGTAGAAGTGAAGTGTTCTCGTTTAACGACAATCAATCAACAGTGCAACAGAGCCCCAAAGTTGTGGCGCTTACCCAACCTCCCACTCCCTTTCGCCCCGAGCTTACATGCAAACGGATCGCATTCAGGGAGGTCGAGGGTTGCATTCCCTGGAGTTGTGCCTCGTTTTATCAACCTCACTCTCTAACTCTCTTGCTCTGTTCCTGAATCCACACTTCTGAATGAACATCTCGAAGATGATGTTTTCGATTAATTTAGCTTTCCAAATGCCTTCGCAAACATATCATTCAGGCACGCAATCTGTAAAGACATGAGGATTGAGGATCGTTAGCCTAACATTCCTGCAGCACATTGTGTATTAATGTATTGATGTGTTCACATCTGCTGGACCTTTGAGGATCATGTGACCGACCTGTTAGGTTTCGTTTACTAACTATCTCTGGTATGTATAAACATTCACTTACAAGATGGATTTTTTCTATCGATCATAAGCAAAACGGTAAAACTTTCAATGCACTGCCAAAATGACAGCACACCATTCGGTTGATGAGACCAAACCAGATCGAAACTGCTGTACAATGTTTGTTCACTTTTCAGTTCACGCTTCATCTGCTCTTCATCATTCTTTTGTTCGTACTGAAAACAGTTCAGCTCACAGTTGAGGCACTCAATACTCCTCCATTCTCCATTTTGCAACTTGAGACATCGAATACAATTAGGTAAGTTTCAATTCCTCAGAATATTCGCACAGACAATGTAGAAAAACGGTGTTATTAAAGAAATTTCTTTATGGCATATCACAACAGGTGATTACATTTAATTGGGGGTGATCGGATATCTGGGTAGGGTGGTCTTATATACTATGTGTCTAACTGTATCATTCGATATGCCGAAAAGAAATTTCTTCTTTGCGAACACCGCTATCGTAAGTTTATCACAATATGGTAGACGCAAAATGCGTTGTCGCCACTTATCCTTTGTCTGGCGCGAAATAAGCCTTCGAGAAAGCACAAATTCGAACTGGTAGACATGATCATGTACTGGGTCACATTGTGAAAAAAGTGGGTTATGGCTAATTGTCTATGTCGCGGTCACGGCAACTCCAATTCAGTGAGTATTTTGGGACGTTTATGGCTCCCATCTCTCTCATACTCCGTTATTTCATGGCTGTGTACACATACAATATCTGTGCCAAAAGGAATGAAACTTCGGCGCTCAACTTGAGACAGCGGGAAAAATAACAACAGAAAAAAGCCATTTGTTGGAGAACAGTTTGCATAACTATGTGTTCAACAGAATCACGTGATACGATGATAAAAATATTATTCGGACCGGTGACAAGAAACAAGTCAGTTGCAATAATGCGAACTAAATATTGGGCTCAATAAATAGCTGGGAAATGTTAGAACTATCGAAATGAAGAGGGTGATTGAAAATTTTAACAACATTTATTAAAACAGCGGTGGAATTTCAATACTAATTTTGCTTGAAATACTGCATTAGGACTTGCTTTCCGGGGAAATTTCATTGAATCATTCAGATGCAACTTATTAAAACATATTTATATATAACGTGTAGAACGGAGCCAGTGCATTCAATTAAAATTATCAACATTTCAAAAGAACTGCATTTTTCGTTCTGAAAGTACCAACCTCGGTACTCGACAGACGGTAAACCGTAGATTTTACCTCTAGATGCAACTGATCAAAAATCCTCATTGCATGTGCCAAAGTAATGCCTCGGTTACGAAACAGCTGATCCGAATCGTCTGAACCGGAGTTAACGCTATCGTTGTCGGACGAAATATGGATATTTTTCCACAGAATTTGGGTTAACCTGGGTGTTTTCCCCACTCAACAATCCATCTACAATCAATATGGTATAAGCATTCTTATTCGCTATTTGACTGTGTCCTTTTCTGTATGCTTTAACCAAATCTATCGAAAATCTGTAAAGATAGATCTATGGGGGTAATATCTATTTATCTCAAAATAACGTTTATCAATATTACTGGGAATCGTTGCCACTAAGAACGTTGACACTAAGAACTTTCTTTGCTGCCGTTGCATCTGTACCATTTTTAGACTTCAGTGGATCTCAACTTGTGCATGTGTACCCTGTCCCAAAGTGCTTATTTTGTAATCGTCGAGACTGAAGCGTCACTAACAGGTATTTCCGCATTCAGTGGGATGTCACTGCAGGCGGTGCATTGGGAAATGTCCAACAAATCAGTGGCCGGTCATGAACGAACAAGTCATACTCAGACTCGGTGAGTAAGCGCTGGCTTACGAAGAGCATCAGTGACCGAAGACACACTTTTGACGAAAGGGCTGTAAAGCGCTGAATGTGAATCACGAGTAATAAAGACATTTGATGTTGTCCTGGTTCCTCGACCCTCTACCGTTTCCCAGAGGATGCTAGTAAACCAAATCATTGTTGCAGTTGTTGTTGCTTGTTTCAAATCATCCTGTTACTGTACTTACTTTATACGGATGTGCCCAGACTAGCAACAAGTTCTAGAATAAAATGCCATTCATTGATTCGATTAGTGCTCATAATTATAGTCCCGGAAATCCTCGTGAATCGCTGTGATTTCCATGGAGCATTTTCTTAGTATCTGAATAAGAGGATAGCAGATTGTCGGCCGAACCGCACGATTTTCCCTTTCCTTTCAAAAATTATTTTAGAATAAGTTTTTCTCGATTCAACATACGGCTTGCAATGATCAATGGGACCGAATTTGATCGACCAGTTTACGTGCTCCTGTGGCGTAAGTTATGTGAGTCGCACAAACAGACGAATGCGGGATCGTGTATGAGAGCTCTCCGATGGCCATGTGTTCGAAGTACCCTCGCCTAATATTCCAGTCGGAAGTTCACACTCCGAAAATGACTATCAAGAATATTGCAGTCAGTATTTGGATAATCACCTCCTAACATCCTAGAAAACCTGAGATAACTATGTTTATCTATATTTTTGTTTCGCCGAGTTATATTGTGTGTTGCAATTAACCAGCAGATATAACATTGAAAGTCTACATGTTTGTTTTTCCAAAGAGTTAGTTACTCAACAGAATAGCTGCGATCACACAAAGTATCCCTAATGTGGAACTCTAATTCGGTGATGAGTTTGTCCCATTGAATGTGTGGTCGCATAAGTTCACTGCGTTTTTTTGCAACAGTCCATAGGTTTTGAAAAAATTCCGCACCTCTTCAAAGCTTTCACTATCTGATTCGGTAACCGAAGTTCGCTATGCGCAACAGTGGTGGATGGAACCAGACATTTCGCCCTACTGTGAACGGTTCTGTGACATCACTTTTATGCAAGAGTTTGAAGTCATGGATGAAACCACTATGAAGTGATCGCTGGAGCACACATACTCACGCACTCCTTGGACCTCTCCTCAGTTGAATTCTTCTTTCCCTTTCAAAGTAAACCACGAATGTCGAACACTTTCTTAACAAGAGACAAGGGAAAAACACTCGTTCACATTAGCGGTGTTGGTTTTTGATGGTGTTTTTTTCTCGTTCGCATTCGCTCCAAGGCTAATTGTATA